GAACCAGAAGGAACTGTGCAGTAAACTGGAGTTCTCAGTTATCAGGGTATCATGAAGAACATGTAGTTACAAACACAGTGATTCAAAATTTCTCTAACAGTCTCTGAAATTCATTAAGTACTTGGAAAAAAAAAAAAAGGACTCCTTTATGTGAACACATGTCTAACAAATTCAGGAAAAGTTCAACAGAAAATTATTTCTATACTTTTAGTTACAAAATAAGAACTTTTATAATGGTTATAGTGAAGGAGAAATGGCAACTGAAAATGCAAATGAATGATGATGAGGTAGAGTTAGTGAAGAAGGACAGAGGAGAAAAATGTGCTAAAGTTGAGTCAAAAATGTAAGCAGGTCTTTGAAAACGCACTGAAAAATTAAGCAGACACTGGCAGTGTGCATGGAGGATGGCTTGTAGCTGTGCATTTAAAAAAAAAGTGTAGAGAGAGCTACTGCAAAGAAAACTTAGTGACATCCTCTTAACTGAAGCTGCAAATGGGTAATAATCTATTTTCCTCTGTTCTCTGTACCTAGTGCAACACCAGCTCTCCCTCGTGACACTTGCATGTGGTTTTGAATCTAACACTTGCATGTGGTTTCCTCTGCTGAGAGGAAACAACAGGGAATTACTCACTTGGATGGAGAATTTCTTAAGGGCATTTGCCAGTATGACAGTTGTTTGATCTATTAAGTCTGTATTTGGACTTGTCAGAAGAAGGAAAAAGGCAGGAATGCCTATTTTACATTCTTTTATGGAAAAACTCACTAAATAGCAGATTAAAGATCTATTCGGCCTTGCTTTTCTCTCAGAATTGCGAAGCTAGGTGTCTGCATCCTCACAGCAAATGTGCCCATCATTGCAAATCCCACATGTAATTCACTGACAAGTTGAAAAGCAAGTGGGATTTTATTTGCAAAATTGAAGTTTCTGGTATGAGTTTCGGCAGTTGGGCAGAGCATTGGAACCACAGAAAGTTTGTGTTGCTCTGCAAGCTGTTGCTCATTCTGTTCCACAACACAATGAGAAATCTCCCAGCTTTGCAATGTTATGAGTAATAGTGCAAGTCATTGAACTAGACAGTCTTGTGGGGTAAGGTGGCCTTGCCCCAGAATGAGATGGTGTTTCTGAATTAATACTGTTTTGATGTTACCTCATTTGTATGTTTGTTTAATTTAGAACATTTAGTTATATTTGGAAATGTATTACAGTATTCATTCTGTAGCCTATTTCCTATTCTTGGATGATAGCTGGCTCCTCATAAGCTCAGGGATGTGCTGTGCTCCTGTGCTGTTTTTTACTGCTGGAATTAAATAAGGTTGTTAAGAGGCTATGTTACCTAAACTCTTTAAGTGGTAAATATATTTGTTTAAATGTTTATTACAAACATACAGCAAAAATGCTGAGTATGGGGGGAGGGCAACTTAGTTTCAAATTCAGGCACAGTGCTTTTGAGGTCAAGGCTTTGTGCATATATCTCTAAGTGTAAATCCTACCCCTCCTTCTCTAGTTTCTCCTTTATTCACTCTTCCCCTTCTTTCACTGGAATAATTTATGCTTCTGGAATACATGTTCTGGAAAAGCAACTGCGTAGGAGTTTTGTGGTCACTTTGAGGCCAATTTCAGAATAGTTTTTGCAAAGCTTTTTCTTGCGCAGTGTGATATTCCATCCATTTTAATGCAGAAGACTAGACTTGCTTCAATTTCACCTAAAAGGAAAGCTACCAGATCCTGGAGGATTGTAACTACAGTATTTCAGTAAGTTTTCCATATGAATACAAAGCCAAAAGTTTTACCGATTACTCTTGTAATACAATGAATCCCATTGAATGAGCCTCCACAATAATTTGAGCAGAGTTGTCTTTTCACATTTTATGTACTCTTAATTCCCACAGGAAAAGAAAAAGCAAGAGGGAAACAGAGGCCTTGCCCCTCCTGGTAAGCCTAGTGTGCCTCTCAAATAATCTGTGAAGGGGGGGCCAGTTCTGGCAGAAGACTGCCAGAAGGTTGCACTGAAATATGCAGTTCATACACTAAAAGCGTTAACTCAGCCTGGAAGGGACCTCAGGAGCTCTCTAGTCCAACCTCAGGCTCACAGCAGGGTCAGCTGTGAAATCTCAGTGGGTTAAGGTCTTTATCCCATGGGACCTTGGAAAGGGATGGAGACTGCACAGCTGCTCTGGGAAACCTGTTCCACTACTTGACCATTCACAGTGGAAACGGCTTGCTTCTGCTTGTGTCAGAATGTCCCCTGCTTTAATTTAAGACCACTGCCTCTTGATCTCCTGCTGTGTACTTCTGTTTCAGAATGATCAAAAATGTTAAGGAGCCTTATTCAGCCACTTTACTTTGCATGTATTGGCTGCCACTGGGTGCCCTCCCTACCCCATGGCTATCTTTTTTTCAGTCTGAACAGACCCAGTCCTCTCATCCTCTCCTAACATTTGCTCTAGCCTCCTGACTCTTATGGTGGCCTGATACTGCAACAACAGTAATTGCTAGAGATGGGCTTTTTCTCCAGGTAAGCTGGTTGGTGAGAAAAACTTTCAATTCTGTTGGTAACGAGACTTAACAATCTCTCTTGTGTTTCTGTGAAAATGGAGCTGTAGGATTCCAGGTCTGCCTCAGATGCTGGTCTTCTGAATTAAGATCAATTACTCTTTTGCATAAAGCCCACTTCAGTTTGGACATTGATGACTCTGGCTGTTAGTGGGAATGTTTGCTGTCCACGAAGAGCCCTTGTGGCTCTGATCTGAGGGGTGTTTGTGAGGACAGGAGGTTCCATTCAGAGCATGGCCTAGAGTCTTGACTGGAAAATAACGAAATGCAATTCAGATTGGAGCCTAATGCATGCTGTCATAGCTCTGCTGCGTTGGTAGAGTTGAAAGAACATAACTGTGCTCTGGAAAAACAGCAGCTAAAGACAAATCTAAGGTTTTATCCTCAATGCTTCTGACCTCCTTGAGGCTCTGCCTGATGAAGGTGAGTCACATGGCAGCCTTCGTGTTTGAGGGAAGAAAAATCTATGCCCTGGAAGCAAGTCCTCCCGTTTGATACAGTGGTTGCTGCTGTGATTTCTCAGTTGAGGGAGGTGTTCGTGGTTCAGGGAGAGGCAGATGCTGCACCAGGCTGGCATGGTGGCAGATGATCTAAGTAGCACTGCTGTTCACAAGAGCACAGTCAGACACTTAACCTGGGAATACGCCCTGGGTGATGAAACAGTAATGTATTAATGCCTGGGGTTGGATTTGATGACTTTTTGGTCTCAAGTTGTCAAGTTGTAATATTCATGTAGTGAGTGCACTGGGACTTGTGACTGATTTTCATTATGATTTTTGTATTTTTCTCCTTTCTTATTTGATAAATAAAATTATTTGCTAATTGCTTTTGACATTTTTTTTTCTTCCTTCTGTATCCTACTGATCCTGTTCCCTGTTGTTTACCTTCAAGACTGCGTGCTGTCCGCAGTGGGCTGTGTGGGGAGGTGAGGCTCTGGCGGGCGAGACATGAGGAGGCAAACGGCCGCCTCTCCCGGGGCCAGGCTTTCAGCTGGCAACGGCTACAACGGTGCCCCGAGAGCTGCTGGATTTGCCCCAGGTGACGAAGCACCGCGGCGTTTAACACCTCGTTCCCGAAACCCTTCTTCACGCCCGCTGGCCGGCCCAGGCCTATCACGTCCTAATCCAGACGTGACTTCACCGCAAGAAGCTCAGGCCACGGCCCGCTCCGGGCCTTTGAGCTAGACAGGCGCTGATGTCATCGCGAGCAGCCGCGCCAGCCGGGGCCCGCTGGGGCACGGGGTGACGTCACAGGCCCCTCGGGAGCCGGGGCCTGGCAGCGCCCTTTTACGCCTCCTCGGCTACGAGTGACGTCACAAGCGGGTGGCGGTGTGGAGGGCGGGGGCTGCCGGGAGTGGGGGCGGGGGTGGGAGGGGGTGAATGCCGGCCAGCTTTTCGTTCTTGATTCTCATCACGTATTAAGGTTCGCTTATCGATCCCGTCTCAGCCGAATTCTTCTCTGCGGGTTCCGATCCTTGCTACAGTGCACTAGCCGGCACCTCCACTGGCCCCATCACCTCCCCGGTTAAAGGTGAGATCACAAGGGGCCGCATAAGCCAGGCCTTGCTGCTGGCCCACCAGCTCAAAAGCTGCAGAAGACCTCACACGAAAGCACACGAGCCAGGGCCCGGCCCAGGCCTATCACGTCCTAATCCAGACGTGACTTCACCGCAAGAAGCTCAGGCCACGGCCCGCTCCGGGCCTTTGAGCTAGACAGGCGCTGATGTCATCGCGAGCAGCCGCGCCAGCCGGGGCCCGCTGGGGCACGGGGTGACGTCACAGGCCCCTCGGGAGCCGGGGCCTGGCAGCGCCCTTTTACGCCTCCTCGGCTACGAGTGACGTCACAAGCGGGTGGCGGTGTGGAGGGCGGGGGCTGCCGGGAGTGGGGGCGGGGGTGGGAGGGGGTGAATGCCGGCCAGCTTTTCGTTCTTGATTCTCATCACGTATTAAGGTTCGCTTATCGATCCCGTCTCAGCCGAATTCTTCTCTGCGGGTTCCGATCCTTGCTACAGTGCACTAGCCGGCACCTCCACTGGCCCCATCACCTCCCCGGTTAAAGGTGAGATCACAAGGGGCCGCATAAGCCAGGCCTTGCTGCTGGCCCACCAGCTCAAAAGCTGCAGAAGACCTCACACGAAAGCACACGAGC